CTACAAAATAACTAGCGGTTCAGTGTAACTATGGCTAAAAGTTTTTTTTTTTTCAGTTTAAGTCTTTTTTTGCAACGATACCTCATATTTTTCAAAAAAAATTTTTTTATTTGTTTTTATTGTACTTCAAAAGTTTTTGATCATAACCGACGACAGAAAGTTTGTCAAATTTTACAGTTATTAACAACACTGAATATCTGAAAAATAAAAGCGCAGTTTTTTTCTGCAAATATGTGAAATTTATTCACGGTAATCAACAGTTAATGTCTGATGTTAAAACAGCGTTGTCCCAGTTTTGTTAAATAAAAATGGCTTTTCTTTTGTTATCTTCTTTATAAAGCGGGTTTTGATGCTAAAGTGTTATGTTCATTTGTAAGTGATTATTGGGGTACGTATTATGTAAAAAATTTTGTTATTTAGGTTTTTTTTTGTTTCTTTATCAGAAAAGGTATGTGCATCTAAGTTTGATGTTTGTAATCGTTTGTCTGTTGTTGCTGTTGTTGATGAATAAAGTTTGTGCTAAAAATTTACCACCTGAATCTGTCAGTTAAAAAATGAACCGCAAAAATGCGCTGGTAAATTGTTTCTACCATCAATTGCATTTGTTTTTAGCAGTTTTGGCGAATTAAGAAGGAAGGTCACCCAAACAGTAAATGCTGCATTGGTTTGATAATTTGTTCAGACAACCAACAAACAACAGCCAAATACATCATCTTAATTGATCACTGTTACGTGAAAGCCAAATAATACGCATATCATCGCGTCTTATTAACCTTAGAATTGTCTTAGTATAGCACCAGCAAAATAGTCGATAAAATCTATTTTTTAAAAGCAAACAAAAAAGAATTAATGATAAATATTCTGCATTAGACTATAAATCTTCAAAAGGATAAATGATAGAAATTAACATTATAGTAGGTAGCAAAAATATTCGAAGAAAAAAAAAACAAATTTTTTTAGTTGTAATAACTGCTTATAATCTAAAACCTTTTGTATTTTTTGCTCTAGTTTAAATGTTATTGTAATTACAGATATTCCAAAAAAAATCTGACATTTTTGCTGAAATAATATTGAAAATACAAAATTGCATGTCTCGAAAAAGAAAATTCAAGGAACTGTTACAACTACCCAAGAAAAACATCTTTGACGATTAACCGTCAATTTTAGACCGACTACAGACTAATTGAAGCTACGTTTAACCTAAGTATTTAGCTAAGATTTCTGATCAAAAAAAATTTTTCAAATGTATTTGTAATTCAAAAATTTTGGTTTATTATTAATGGTTTTTTTCTTTGTGCAAAAGAAATCATATAGCATTACGGCACTTACAGTGGAATAAACACGTTTTAACTGAATTGACTAAGCGCAGATGCCCAAACGTTTATTTTTAAAAAATCATTTCGAGATTAAACACATAAAAAATTCTGCTAAATCATTCTGTAACAGTGTCTTTTTATCGTTTTTTTTAACCCTTTTTTTTTTGTGTTAATTAAGACAAATTCTCACAGCGCTACATTCCTTTTTCGGATGCTGAATACTGCATAAATCATACTCGGAGCCAATTGTAAGATACGATTCCAGCATGATGCTGAAGAATTATGCAATAGTAGTTGTTCCTCTGAATACCTCATCAAATACTGCCTTGTTTGTTCGGATATTCACACAAAATAAATGCTATTTTGATATCTAAAAATTTTGCCCATTGATTAGATGCCAATTTTGAATAGAGAATATTAGCAAAATTTATTAATTAGGTTTACCAAACAAAGTGTATTTTTTTAAGCAGCATTAAAGTACATAAAAAATGAACATCAATACCCATCAAATGTTTAGCGAAAATAAAGCAGTATAAAACCGTTATAGTTATAAAACTCCACCAGTGATATTAAACAGTTCTCACAAAAATTTTAATTATCACTTCTTACTTCTCACTAAAGCCTTTTTTTTACTGTAAAGACTTAACAAGAATTAAAAGTCTTAATCTTTAGCATATGCTGCTTAGCTGAGTTTAACGGTACCACACAACTGTTTATTAGTTCCATTCAATCTTGCCAAAAGTGCCAAAGATATATGTTCAATTCACGCATTTAAAAGCAATCTAATAAATGCATTTTTTCTTCTTCTCTTATTATAGTGTTGCACTGCAAATAATACCATGTAAAGGATGGAACGAAAAACTGCGCAACAAACAGGAAATAATGAGTAATAGAAGAGTTATGTAAAAATGTCATAAATTTAACACTACTAAGTCAACCATTTTCAACTTAACCACTGAATACGCCTAAAGTTTCTTTTCATTTTTTTTTTGTCTAATGAACGTATTCATTTTTGGTTGTTTTTGCTGTTGCTTAGCACTTTATTTTAAGAATCAATTCATAAGAACAGTCTGCAGAAGACGACAAAACAAGTTTGGTAATGAAACACAAGTTATCATTTGTCATCGTAGAAGTATTTAAAGAAATGAAAAAAAAAAAAAGAAAAAGAAGAAAAAATTAAACTGCTCTTACTTTTCTGAACACTTTTTCTACGTTTTGCAGACCTCTGTTGATGAAAAACACTAACCGTTATCTTGTTCATCGCCTTTCACTGATATTACCGATAAGCGTTCTCAACCGTTGGTACCCATTTTTAAAATTTATTAACTGGTTCTAACTGAACAATGCATTTTCTTAACTTATTAACAAAAAGAATAGTTTACAAATATAATTAATCTAAAAAACTGTTCAAAAGCTTAAGTCCAACAGTATATTTGCAAATTAGAAGCTAAATAATCGCTTTATTATTGACAAAATTTGACTATATTACTGTTTCTAAACTGCGTTGTGTGAAAACAATAAACAAGTATTTAAAGTGAATGCTAAAGTTAAGTATTTTGAGAAGACTACAGCTTAAGAAAAAGAGAAAAAAAAAGAAAATAATGAATTGCACATAAACTATTTAATTGAAATCGTTGAATTAATTAAATTTTAGTATTTATAGAACAACGGCAAATGTGGTGCGGTA